GCTCAGTGAAGAGAAGGGCCTTCCACACCGTCCTGGCGATTCTGCTCGTGGTGCTGGCCCTCTATCTCCCTGCCGCCTTCACGGTGCCCTTCTACAGCTACGCCCAGCCCCACATGGTCTTCTGCTACCTGCACCCCCTCTCTTTCTCCTTCATCATCCTGAGCAGCGTGGCCAAACCCCTGCTCTACCTGTCCCGTGTGAACGGGACGTCCTGCCGCCCAGTCTGGAAGGTTGGCCACTGTTGGTCCCAGAACAGTCTCAGGCCAACTGGCCACTAGACAAGCCAGGGTCAGTGCGGAGCAGACAGGGCTGACTCAGAGAACTTCAGGTCTATAATCGGACTGAAGGGGTACAAAGCTTCTTATTTTTGGATGGTGGTGTGTATTCGGAGGAGTGGAGCTGAATTAGGAGAATCTTTATGGAAGGTTGATAACTTCCAATGAATACTTTAGCTAACCCATGGTCGTCAATACATACAGTAGACAACACACGTATGACAGCACCAACGCTCCCATCATGCCTCTCTGTGCTTGACGATGCTGGTTTTGGCCTTGCTTCACTTCTGTTTTTTTTTTAAGAATATCCCAGAAAGCTGCCTAAGTGGACTCGGGCACAGGAGCTTGATAAGAACGCCTCTTGCTTCTCCGATGAAGACTATGTTCTGAAATTTTGTAAAAAAAAACCCTTTCACAATGCAAAGAACAATGACTGTGCGTCGTTGTTTACATTTTGTGGAAAACCTCTGTCCTGCGTTTGTCGTTTGCCTGTCTAATCTGAAGGTGGTGTTGGTCTAGTGTAACGTAACTGAATACTGTATACAGCGCAGATAGTCCATTCCCAGTGGCTTGAAAAAATCTATTTCTCCAAGTAAATAAGTGTTACTGCAATTAAACTCTGAAGAGACCATGTGTCTCACTCTGTAGACAAATGAAATATGCTTTTTCTTAAAGCAAATGTGTTGACTGACCAGTTACTACTAAGGGGTAAAATAATATCTCCTAAAATATAAGAAAAGGGGGCAACATTGTTCTGAATTCTAGTCAGGTATCAGATGCTTTTATGTGCCTTGTAAGCACTGCTGGATGGTCTGTATTGTCTGAAACATACTGCCCAGCCAATCTGTCTAAACGAATACAGGAAAAGGCTTGGATTAGATTAATTGCTAGTGATCAAATAAGCTGATCAAAGATGCTCTGGTTGGGCTCCTCATTTCTAACATTTTTTTGGATTCCGGTTTTGTTTATATCAGGGCCACTGCTTTCCAACTGGTGGCTGGTGCTTCATTAGTACTGCAGGAGGGGCTGAGGGAGAGGAAAATTGGTCTTAACAGTTTAAGAACTGTACACTGAATCTTTACAGTGTCATTGACATCTGTTGACCTGTAACTGATTCATTGTGGAACGGCGATGGGCGAGTGTTGATCTAGAACAGCTGGAGAGCTGCACCCTGGACACGCCTGACTGAATACACCCACAAAACCACTGTCAGTTCTCTCTGCTCAGTCATTACATCAGCCAACCACTGGGGGGCACTGACTCCAGTTACAAAAGCCCTAGGAGCTGGCTTAAGATGAGTTCTGCTTAGGTTTCAGAAATGGAAGTCTTTGTACAGCTTGTATTATAAGTGCATTTTGAGCAACTTTTATTTGAGAATTAGCTTGCACCATCTAAAACAAAGTATTTTATTTGGTTTGGACAGACACAAACCTCCAGCCATCATTCCCAACTTCCTTGTAGTTGACGCCTTTGTAATGCATTACAATGTTGCACAAAATCGTGCTCCATTTTCTCTGTGGACAAACTGCCCATGAAATTGATTTACTGCAGTTTGCCCACAGAGAACATTGCAGCCTATGTGCTGTTGCTAAACATATCCCTACTATGCACCCTGGTCAAATGGAATATAGA